CAGGATTTGCAGGAGGGCTTTTGTGCCTTTTGCACAATTTTCCTGGGTGTCACTGGCAAGGAGGAGGTCATCTACATACTGCAGGAGGGTGCAACACATGGCTTCCCTCGGAAAGCTGGCTTCAGTGCCTCTCCAAATAGAGTGGGTGAGTTCTTGAACTCTTGTGGAAGCCGCATCCATGTTGACTGCATCTGCCGCCGTGTATCCGGTTCACTCCATTCGAAGGCAAACAAGAGCTGGCTGTGGGAGGCCAGCTGGAGGCAGAAAAAGGCATCTTTTAAGTCTAGGCAAGTGAACCATTTGACAGACTTCGGGATCTGGCTGAGGAGGGTATATAGATTTGGGACCACAGGGTGTAAATGAACAGTCACTCTGTTAATGGCTTGCAGGTTTTGAACAGGCTGGTGTCTTCCTCCTGGCTTTTTGAATGGTAGAAGTGGGGTGTTCCAGGGCAACTGACACTTGGTTAGAATACCTGCCTCTTTGAGTCTGATCAGGTGTTCCTGGATGCCTGCTTTCACCTCTTGTGAGAGGAGGTACTGCTGCTGTCTTTGTGGCTGGGCCCCTGGAGTTAATTCTACAATGCAGGTACCGGAGTCCAGCTCCAGCGAGTCCAGGAGTCCCTGAAGGATGAATGGCGTCTGCAACTGAATGAATGAGTGAAGACACAGACACTAGAAAAGGCTGAGCCTGGCCTTTAATGAAAAGTTGCAGCTTGATTATATACTCTTTGATTACATAAAGTACAGATATTAATCATTTAATTGACACATAGCATGGTTACATGAGTTTGGAGAATGAGATTAAATCATCTGGCAGGTCTTAGCAGTTAACTTGTTTCTAAGTAAGCTTTGTACTTAGTTATTGCGGCCAGAAAATCTTCAAAGGTTAGGTAGGTGCCAGACTCTTGGTTTCTTTACAGATGACTATCTAAAGTTCACTATTTTATTATTTTTATGTAGGGCCCTCATTCTTTCATAGTTATACTCCCATTCTTCATCTCCGGTAGGAAAGAAAGAGACTCTCTCTAAAAGGACACGATGACCTCTTGGCAGGCAGGAACAAATTTTATGAACTGTGCCTTGGACCCATTTTCAGTAAGACTTACAATGGAGATTTTTCTGATCTGGAGTTAGGTAATGCCCTGTTCTCATTTGTTTTAGAATTTGCCAGGTTGTTCTTTGGCAGGCTAGCCAAAGAGTATCATTTGTTCTCTGTACCCACCTGTTGCCATTAATAATTGAATATGTCATTTGGAAGCCACGTAGGGGTGGGGGAAGGAACCTCGACCCAGGTAAATTTTCCATATCTTTTTTCCCATAAACTTGGGTCCAGTACTCATGGGGTCTCACTTTCCCATCATCGGGGGTAGTCACAGGGCAGTAGTGGTTTTTTCCAATTTCCTTTAAGGCCAGTACCTAAAATTTTCAGGGAGAATTGGATATGGCCTCTTCCCTGAAGGGGCAGCTTGAATTGAAACCAAAATAAGCAAATTTATTAGGAGAGATATTTTGAGGAGGATATCGGGGTTGCTCCTCTGGGAAGGCCACTGTGCAGTCCTTTCCATCCAACTGCCCGGACTGTGTCATCAGGCTGGTGGTTCGGACCAGCTCCCAACAGACAGGGGCTCGGTTATGAGCAAGTCCAGGTGGGTTGCTTCAGCCATACTGAGGGGAAGTCAGCTCTGAATTCAGGTGGGCTACTTGAGAGGGTCTGGGCACAGAATAGCCTCCACTCCTCTTCCCTGGGTGTGGTTATTGCCACTACAAGGGACCCTGGCTCTTCTTGGCCTGGGTTTAGTTTGAGGCTGGTGTGTCCAGTTGGTTCAAAAGTTATTTGGGCTCCGAGCTTTGAGAGTATATCTTGGCTGAAGAGGGGAATGGGGCACTCAGGCAGGTAGAGAAACTTATGTTGGGCTTGGCAGAAGTGTTGCTGGACTGCTTATGTCCCAGTAGCTCTGAGAATAGTTGCAGTCTTTTTACTGAAGGGACTTACAGGGAGGGTGGCCACAGAGTATTCTGTCCCTGTGTCAGCCATAAAAGTCTTTTTTTGTTCCCCCACTTTCATTTTGACCGTGGGCTCATGGTGGTCAAGCATGAGAGAGCCTGGTCTTTGTCGATCTGAGTCTGTTGCTGCCAGACTAATGAGCCTTTCCCTGTGTTGCTTCTCCAGGCAGTGACCGGGCTTTGGGGCTTTGCCTCAGTTGGGGCATTTGTTCTTCCAATGCCTCTTCTCTTCACAGTAAGCACACTGGTCCCTGGCCTGGGGCGTCCTAGGCTTTCTCCCTCCTGGTGGCCGGCTTTTCTCTGCCTTTTGGTCATCTCTCTTTTAGGGTAGCTGCCAGGAAGCTGACCTTTTTTTTTTTTTTTTCATTTTTCTTTCAGCTTCTCTGTTATCCTGAACTTCTCTGTTTAGATATACTTTGTTGACAATTTTAATCAGTTGCATGATATTTATGGAGCTTTTGTCTGATGTCTGGGGCAGCTTGAGCTATGAATGAGGTATTGACCATTTGTTGACTCCCTGGTGACTCAGGATTGAAGGGGGTGTAGATGCCATTAGCTTCATACAGTCTTTCATAATAATCCTCAGGAGACTCTCCTGGTTGTTGAGTGACTGAAGATACTTTGGTCATGTTCATAGGCTTTTTGGACCTGGCTTTGATCCCCTGGAGGAGGGCATCCTGATATCGGCAGATCTGGTGCTGTCCCTCAGGGGTGGTAAAGTCCCACTCGGACGTTCCTCAGGGACAGCGATTTCAGCCTATGTACCCCACTCAAGGACCCCAGCTGCCTCCTCTCTTCCATTGTGAACAGGGTGTAGAGAAGCTGTTGGCAGTTTTTCCAGGTCAGCCAGTGAGTTTGAAGAGGAATTTCACGAGATCATCTAGGGCTTGTGGCTTTTCTAACAGGGTGTTGTGTTTTTAATTGAGGAGGTTAGTTATGGAGAAGGGTTGATAGTAAAACATGGACCGGACCCGCTGGATGGTCTCATCTTTATTACACCTTTCAGGCTCCCATGTCTCTTGCACTGGCATCTGAAGGGTGCCTGCTTCCGGCCAAGGGCACAGTCTGGCTGCTGGTCCAGGGGAGAGTGGGTCCATTGGTTCTGGAGTTGGCGGGGAGGCTGATGGTGGCAGGGTGTCTGTCTGGGACTGGGGGGCTTGCTGCTGCTGACCTTGGGGGCGCATAAGGTAGAGGCAATATTCACTCTTCCTTTGGGTCACCAGCAAGAATTTGTGGAGGCTCAGGCTTCTGTTGATTCTTTGCAGGCTTCTTTGTTGAGGGGACTAAGACCCTACCCTGTCCCTGCCTGTTGCAAGTGAATCACACCCAAGGGGGAAGAGTCTGGGCAACTTGTAACCAGGAGTTGAAGTATGGGAACTGATTAGGATGACCTGGATCTCTAGGGATGACCCACCAGACGCAGCAGATTGTTGGGACATCTAGGGTTCCTTCTGGAGGCCACACTACACTAAAGGTGGGCAATACAGATTCACACAGGGTTTTTAACCTGCCAGGAGTTAATTTTACTCTGTAGTTTTCTGAAAATCCCTTCTTGAAAATCTTGATCATAGTGTCAAGGATTGTGGGTTTACTGTGCCCTGACCCCATGACATGTCCATGTATGGTGCCGCAACAATGGATGAGGGAGGGGTGCCTCCTCTAAAGAGAAGACCAGTCAGATGCCTGTCTGTTCGCGCTCCTCTCGGAGACTTTGGTTAGCCTTGACTAAGATGCACCTGTATAAGTTCCAGGCCAGGTCAGCCAAAGCAGAATCACCATTATGTTGTAGGGCCGACCATTCGCGGATGAGGGCCCACTCAGATTCCGTAGCACAGGCCATGGAATCACAGATTCAGTGCAGACAAAATGACTTCAGCCCCCCTGCACACTCACTCACACACACTCAGACCAGTGTTTAAACATTCCCCCCCTGGGAAAGTCTACCTGTGAGACTTCTAAGAAGTCTCCAGGAGGTGATTGGGCTGCCCTTCAACCCCAACAGGTGGGACTGACTGGGTCAGGGGCCCCCGAGCCTTACCGGATTCGACGTTGAAACCAGGTCCTCACTTGCCAAGCCTCCTTGAGTCTGGCGGGAACAGCGGAGCAGGGCTTGCCCAGGGCCACTGGGTGGGAGACTGCCGAGAGATCAGGCAGAGCACGCCTTCTCCATTAAGATCTCCTGTTCCATCACCGCCCCGCCATTGCCCCAAACCAGTGGCAACAATGGGTCAGAACCGTCAGGGAACCAAATGTTATGGAAAATACTGGAAAACCTGGACTGGATCACTGACGGAAGAATCAAGCGGCACTCAGAGGTCTTAGAGTGTTGAGGTTTTATTTCACACTGGCGGGCTCAGAGGGGAGTAATTTCCCAAGGTCTGAGCCCTGAGCACAAGCAAGGGGAGCAATTTATATTATTTTGATATGTGACATTTCGGCATGCGCAGGGCACAAGAGGAGCCTGGAGGAGGGAGCTGGGGGTGCTTTGCCAACTGGAGGAAAAAGCAGTTTGCTGACCTTGATGGCTGTGTTGAATATTTTCCTTATCAGTTGAACTAATTTACATTTCCACCAACAGTGTAGGAGGGTTCCCTTTTCTCCACATCCTCACCAACATTTGCTGTACCTTGTCTTTTAGATGTTGGCCATCCTAACTGGTGTGAGGTAATATCTCATTGTGGTTTTAATTGGCATTTTCCTGATAATTAGCAATGTGGAGCATCTTTTCATGTGCCTGTTGGTCATCTGAATTTCTTCTTTGGAGAAGTGTCTGTTCAGATCCTCCACCCATTTTTTTTACTCAGGTATTTGCTTTTTGGGTGTTAAGGTGTGTGAGCTCTTAATATATTTTGGATGTTAACCCATTCTCAGATATGTCATTTATGAATAGATTCTCCCATACTGCAGGAAGCCTTTTTGTTCTAATGATGGTGTCCTTTGCTGTACAGAAGCTTTTTAGTTTGATGTAGTCCCATTTGTTCATTTTTGCTTTTGTTTCCCTTGCCCAAGGAGATGTTTTCAGGAAAAAATTGTTCATGCTTATATTCAAGAGATTTTTGCCTGTCTTTTCTTCTAAAAGTTTTACAGTTTCATGAGTTACATTCAGGTCTTTGATCCCTTTTGAGTTTACTTTTGTGTACAGAGTTAGACAATATCCAGTTTCATTCTCTTACATGTAGCTGTCCAGTTTTCCCAACACCAGTTGTTGAAGAGGCTGCCTTTTCCCCATTGTATGTTCATGTCTTCTTTATCATATATTAATTGACCATATATGTGTGGGTTAATAGCTGGGGTCTCTATTCTAGTCCATTGATCTATGGGTCTGTTCTTGTGCCAGTACCAAATTGTTTTGATTACTGTGGCTTTGTAGTAGAGCTTGAAGTTAGGGAGCATAATCTCCTCAGCTTTGTTCTTCTTTTTCAGGATTGCTTTGGCTATTCAGGTTTTTTGTGGTTCCATATGAATTTTAGAACTATTTGTTCTAGTTCATTGAAGAATGATGTTGGTATTTTGTTGGGGATTACATTGAATCTGTAAATTTCTTTGGACAGGATGGCCATTTTGACTATATTAATTCTTCCTATTCATGAGCACAGGATATATTTCCATTTATTGGTGTCTTCTTTAATTTCTCTCATGGTGTCTTACAGGTTTTGGAGTACAGGTGTTTCACTTCCTTGGTTAGGTTTATTCCTAGGTATTTTATTCTTTTTGATGCAATCGTAAATGGAGTTGTTTTCATAATTTCCCTTTCTGCTAGTTCATTGTTAGTATATAGAATGCAACAGATTTCTGTGTATTACTTTTGTATCCTACAACTTTGCTAAATTCAGTTACTAGTTCTAATAATTTTTTGGTGGAATCTTTAGGGTTTTCTATGTATAATATCATGTCATCTGCAAACAGTGACAGTTTAATTTCTTCCTTACCAATTTATGAATAGATTTTCCCATACTGTAGTTCATTGTTAGTATATAGGAATACAAGAGATTTCTGTGCAATTTGAATGCCTTTTATCTCTTTGTGTTGTCTGATTGCTGTGGCTAGGACCTATAGTACTATGTTGAATAAAAGTGGGGAGAGTGGTCATCCTTGTCTTGTTCTCGATCTTATAGGAAAACGCTTTGCTATTAAGTGTGATGTTGGCTGTGGGTTTGTCATATATGGACTTTATTGTATTGAGGTACATACCCTCGATACCCATTTTGTTGCAAGTTTTTATCATGAGTGTATGTTGAATTTTGTCAGATGCTTTTTCAACATTTATTGAGATGACCATATAATTTTTTATCCTTTTTGTTAATGAGATGTATGATATTGATTGATTTATGAATACTGTACTATTCTTGTATCCCTGGAATAAATCCCACTTAGTCACGATGGATGATCTTTTTGATATATTTTTGAATTCAGTTTTCTGATATTTTGTTGAGGATTTTTGCATCTATGTTCATCAGATCTATTGGTCTATAATTTTCTTTTTTGTGGTGTCTTTGTCTGGTTTTGGTATTAGAGTGATTGCTGGCCTCATAGAATGACTTTGGAAGTACCCCTCTTATATTTTTGGAATACATTAGGAAGGGTCGGTATTACCTCTTCTTTAAATGTTTGGTAGAATTTATCTATGAAGCCATCTAGACCTAGAGTTTTGTTTTTAGATAGATTTTGATTACCAATTCGATTTCATTGCTGGTAATTGGTCTCTTCTGTTTTTCTGTTTCTTCCTGGGTCAGTCTTGGAAGGTTGTGTTTTTCTAGAAAGTTGCCCATTTCTTCTAGGTTGTCCAATTTATTGGCATATAATTTTTCATAGTATTTTCTAATAATTCTTTGTATTTCTGTGGTGTCTGTTGTGATTATTTCCCTTCGTTTCTGATTTTATTTTGGTGTGTATGCCTTTTTCTTCTTTCTTGAGTAGTCTGGCTAGGATTTTATCTATTTTGTTTATTTTCTCAAAGAACCAACTGCTAGTTTCATTGATTTTTCTATTGTTTTATTCTTCTCAATTTTATTTATTTCTGCTCTGCTCTTTATTATGTCCCTCCTTGTACCAACTTTGGGCTTTACTTGTTCTTTTTTAGTTTCTTTAATTGTGATTTTAGACTATTTGCGATTGTTCTTGTTTTTTGAGGTAAGCAATATACTGTTTACTTTCCTCTTAGAAGTGCCTTCACTGCATCCCACAGGTTTTGGGCTGTTGTGTTATTGTTTTCATTTGTGTCCATGTGTTGCTTTCCATGTGTTGCTTTAATTTTTATTGCTTTAATTCTGTTTTAATTTGATCCTTGATTCACTGATTATTTAGCATGTTGTTTAGCCTCCATGTATTTGTAGGCTTTTTTGTTTTCTTTGTGTGATTTATTTCTAGTTTCATACTATTGTTGTGTGAGAGGCTGCTTGATACAATTTCAATGTTTTTGAATTTATTGAGGCCCTTTTTGTGGCCTAGTAGGTGATCTATTCTGGAAAACATTCCATGTACACTTGAGAAGAATGTGTATCCTGCTGCTTTTGGGTGGAATGCTCTGTAGATAACTGTTAAGTCCATCTGATCTCATGTATTGTTCAGTGCCTCTGTTTCCTTACTTATTTTCTGCCTTGTTGATCTATTGATTTAAGTAGTGTGATAAAATCTCCTAAAATGAATGTGTTGTAGTCTGTTTCTCCCTTCAATTCTGTTAGTATTTGTTTGACATATTTAGGTGCTCCTATGTTGGGTGCATAGGTATTTATAATGGTTATATCTTTTTGTTTGACTGACCCCTTTATCATTATGTAATGTCCTTCTTTGTCTCTTGTTGTTCTTTGTTTTGAAATCTATTTTGTCTGATAAAAGTACTGCTATTCCTGCTTTTTTTCCATATTTGCATGAAATGTCTTTTTCCATACCTTCACTTTTAGTCTGTATGTCTTTGGGTCTGAAATGAGTCTCCTGTAAGCATCATATAGATGGGTCTTGTTTCTTTATCCGTTCTGCCACTCTGTGTCTTTCGATTGGTACATTCAGTCCATTTACACTTAAGGTGATTATTGATAGATATGTACTTATTGTCATTTTATTAATTATTTTCTGGTTGTTTTTATATAGCTCCTCTGTGTTCCTTTTTTCTTCTGTTATATTCTTGTTATTTGATGAATTTCTTCAGTGTAGAGATTGGATTTTTCTTTCTTTTTTTTAAGATCTATTGTTGGCTTTAATTTTGTGGTTACCAAAGGTTGAAGAATAGCTTCCTTACTATATAACAGTATTTTAAATAGCTGATTACTCTACTTCAAACACAATCTAAAGGTACTTTTTTTCTTTCTTATTCTTCTTCCTCCTCCACACTTTATGTATTAGATGTCATAATCTGCACTTTTTGTGTATCCCTTTTCTGATTTTGTGAGTAGTTGATTTTGCTTCTTTTGTTTTAATTTCATACTTACTGGTAATTAATTGGTCTACTACCTTTACTGTGGGTTTATTTTCATTGGTGAGAGCTATTTAGCTTTTGGAACCTTTACTTCTACAGCAGTCCAGTCCCTTTAACATATCCTGTAGGGATGGATTATTGGTAGTGAATTCCTTCAGTGTTTGTTTATCTGAAAATTGTTTAATCCCTGCTTCAAATTTCAATGATAATCTTTCTAGATAGAGGATTCTTGGTTAGACGTCCTTTTTGATTACATTAGATATATCATGGCACTGTCTTCTGGCCTGTAAATATTCTACTGAGAAGTCTGCTAATAGCCTGATGGGATCTCCTTTATAAGCAACTTTTTTCTGTCTCTGGCTGCTTTCAACACTCTCTCCTTTTCCTTGATCTTTGCCGTTTTAATTATTATATGTCTTGGTGTTGTCTTCCTAGGATTCCTTTTGTTAGGGGCTCCCTGTGCTTCCATGACGTGAGTGTCTGTTTCCTTCCCCAGATTGGGTAAGTTTTCAACAATTATTTCCTCAAAGAGACTTTCTATCCCTTTGTCTCTCTCGTCTCCTTCTGGTACCCCTATTACACAAAGATTGTTCTGTTTGGATTGGTCACACAGCTCTGTTATTATTCTTTCATTCCTAGAGATCCTTTTTTCTGTTTTTCAGCTTCATTGTTTTCCTGTTCCCTAATTTCCATTTCATTCACAGCTGCTTCAACCTGTAATAATATACTCTTAAATCCCTCCATTGTATGTTTCATTTCATATACTGTATTCTTCAGCTCTGAGTGGGTTCCTTTACAGGTCTTCTATCTCTATTGAAGTCCTCCCTGAGATCTTGGATATTTTTCTGTAAATCCATGAGCATGTTTGTGACTTTTGCTTGAAATCTTTTTAAGAAGATTGGTGATTTCTGTTTCATTTAGCCATCTTCCTGGTGTCATGTTGCAGTTTTGTTTGGAATATATTCCTCTGCCTCCTCATTTTGTCATGGTTTCTGTGTGCTTTCCTTTGTATTAGATGACTCTGCTACTTTCTGACCTATGGAGTAATGTCTTTGTGATAGAGGCATTCTCTAGTGCCCAGAAGCTCAAGACTCTTTACTTTCCAGTGCAGGAACCCCAGCTATTGGCATGCAGTGGGTAGGGCTGTCTTTCTGTCTGACTTGTTGTGGTCTGAATCTAGGTGGGCAGTTTACTTCAGCCGCACCTTTGTGATCAGTGCAGAAGTCTCTGTTGGAGTTGCTGTGGGTGGGACCACCCTCTGTCTGGCCTGCAGCAGTGGTGGGGCTTCAGGGTTAATGGGGTGAGCAGGCTGATGCGGTTGGACACCCGCAAGGAGGAAAGAGCTCTAGAGACTGGCTCCTGCAGGCACCTCCCTCACTGGGCTGCAATGGAGTCAAGAAAGCTAGGAGTGTCTCCCTCTTCCTACCAGGCAGCAAGTGGGTTGTCTGCTAGCAGTGCATACAGGGAGGAGCCTCAGGGCTGTGTTGCCAGCAGCTGGGATGAAGTGTCTGGAGCTCCCAAGAGTTCCTGAACTGTTGGGCAGAGGGTGGGCTGGGTAGGTATTGTCCATCTGCCCTTTCTCCTGAGAAGAGAGCTCCCTCCAACACTCACCCCTCTGGCACCCCTCCCACTGCTGGGAAGTTTTTCAAACTGCCCACTTTGCTTTTGTCTCAGGGGGACCAGTGGAGCATGCCTGGTCTCCACAAGTGGCTGTTTTCTCAGGCTCCCTGAGTGTTCCACCTGTCCTTGGTGTCCAGCCTCGCTAATCACCAGAACACCATGTAATGTGGGCTCGTGGAGCAGATCTCCAGGGCTAGGTACTCAGCAATTGTGGGCTCCTACTCCCTTCCCACTCTGTTCCTCTCTCTCCTGCTTGAGGGCTTGGGTCCTGCTAGATCTGGCTTTGCCACTTTACCCTTTTCTGTGAGGTCTTTTCTTCTTCCCCAGATGTAGGTAGTCTGTTTTACAGTCTTCAGGTTATTTTCAGGTTTAGTTGTATTTGCTATATTTTCATGTTTTATGTGTTTTGGTGAGGAAGTCTCAGCCTTGCCTTCCTACTCTACCATCTTTTTCTCCCAGAATTCTTTCTTTCTTTTTTTTTTTTTTTTTGCCCAGAGTTAAAACCAAAACAGAAAAGTTCTCTTGTCATTTTCTATTGTGGGCTGGGGTTTTTATTTTTCCTGGTTCACTCTTTGATCAAGTGTGAAGCCCTTTGAGGATTTTGACTTTGGTATGGATTTTCATTCCATTTCCCTACCTCAAGTGGGCCCAATGCTCTGTTTTCCATCCTTGAAGGCTTTGAGTTACTAGGGTCTGGTGAAAAATAGAAGTTGTGGCTTTAGTGTTGACTGCCTCCCTGGATTTGTGCTCCTACTTATTCCTTAGCTGCTTAGGATTTCTCTAATCTTCTTTGAGCTATGCATTTAAAAGTATTTCTAAAGTATATTCTATCCAGCCTTTTTAGGTGTTTTGTATAACAAGGGTTTTCAGGATATATAGTTTACTACATTGCTGGAAACAGAAGGTATTAATTTCTTCTATGATGTGGTTTCTTAAACCAGTGGCCCTTCTCTGGGCATTCTATTTAGTTAATGTCTCTTTTTACTATGAAAGTCAGCCCCATCACAGTTCTTAAGATATGGCCTGACTAGAATACAAGGGAATCATTATTTATCTTACTCTATATGCACTGTGTCAATTCATGCAGCCAAGGAATACATCAGATTATTGAACACTGAGTCATTATTAATTTACTTGGAGTGTCTGCTTAACTAAAAATTCACAGATCTTTTCCATAGGTGATTTTAGTTTTTGAAACATAAATGTAGGACTGCTTTTTCATCTAATTTTTTTGTCTCTAGTGCCTAGCACAGAGTAAGAATTTAGTAAATGAATGATTTTACATTTCTCACTTTGAAACTTTTCCATATTGGATATGAGGTGGTTTCAGCATAAGATAATTTTAAATCCTGATCCTGTTATACAGTTGTCAGCTACCCTCTGGGCATTGTGTTATTTGTAAATTAGAAGTTTTCATTTAAATAGCTAAGAACAGAGCTTTGCAGCACTAAAGACTTCTTTTTAGATTGATATAAAATATTAATTATAGTTTCTTGTATGTTGCTTACTCATAGCCATGAGTATATGTAAATACACTCTTTTCTGACTCCTTATTTCATAATTGTCTTGCAGGTTAAAGTGAGAGGCTTTATTAGGCACTCTGCAACAGACAAATGGGCAGAGGGAGCACTTTGCACAACCTCCCAGGCCAGGTGCTTAGAACAGCCCTGGCCTAAGAAAGAGGAGCCTGTCAGTTGCTCTAATACTTTACCCTTTAATACTCTGGGCAGGTGCTGGTGGATGTGCCCTGCACCACAGACCGCCACTCCCTTCGTGAGGATGACAACAACATCTTTCAGCGGTCAAGGAAGAAGGAGCGGCAAATGTTGCCCATGCTGCAGGTGCAGCTTCTTGCGTGAGTAATAGATTTACAAAAACTCAGGACTTTGTGTCAAAGTGCTCCAGGGTCTGGTCATCTGCAGGACTCTGGGACTAGGGGCCTGGAACCTCTTGCCAATAGAAGGGTCTTCTGGCTGGGGATCTGTCTGGAAGAGAGAGACATCATGGGATGGTCCTTCTCTGGAACATAAAATTCCTATGTGCAGGGTGGACTGCACAGGTTTACTTATGCTATCTTACCTCCATGCTAGTCCCAGCACCAGTGAGTAGCCCACCTTTGGAAATAGTTACTGAGATCATGGCTCTATAGCACTGGGTAAGGACTCAATCCATAGTCAGCATCATGGTTTGGTCCACAACTAGAGTCAGAGCTCAGGGGATCATTTCAAGAAGGCTTCGGGAGGAAAGCCTGTAAAGTAAGGTTGGGTTGCTTTCTGCTTTGAGAGTGACTTTTCAGGTGGTGTCATTATGGCAGGGATTTCAGAGGGTGTCTAACACAGCTACCCATCCCACAGTAGATTCCCCTACCCATGCTTCCAGCTTCTGTTGTCCTACCTCTGGGCAGCTCACTAGTCACTGGCTTCTCTTTCTGTTTTCAGGGCTGGACTCCTTGCCACCAAACCGGGTGGCCACGTTGTCTATTCCACCTGCTCACTCTCACACTTACAGAATGAGTATGTGGTACAAGGCACCATCGAGCTCCTGGCCAATCAATACAGCATCCAGGTTCAGGTGGAAGACCTGACTCACTTCCGAAAACTTTTCATGGATACATTCTCCTTCTTCCCATCCTGCCAGGTTGGGGAGCTGGTCATCCCAAACCTCATGGCCAATTTTGGGCCTATGTACTTTTGTAAAATGTGTAGGCTGACATAGCAACAGCCTGTTACTGAAGCCCTGGTGTAGGAGACACCAGAAACTGAGACCAGTGGCAAAGATGTTCTCTGAGTCCTATCTCCATTCTGCTCAAGTCTTCCTACAGACAATTTCCAGTTATAGGAAGTAGGAGTTTCTCTGTCCTGCTGTCCAATTGTGGAGCATCAGGAGGTTTCTTACTTATTATAGCCCCATCTCCAAGCCTGTGCTAAAAGTTCCCACCCCATTAGGGACTTAGGAATATGAGCCAGTGAGCAGGCCTACATTTTAAGCTGTAAACTTGGAAAGAAGCATTTAGCCAATAAAATTGTTGAAGCTCTGTAGAGCTAGGGCTTTTAGTTTTCATGTCAGTCCAAGTACTATTAGTTCCATTTGTACCAGCTGCTGCTACTGAGCACTAGTGCCAGGTGCCCAAAGCCCAGGACCTCAGCCTGGATATAAGCCTCTGGTTACCGAGCCCCTCTCATACGTGAGGTGAGTTCTGAATGATCCATCTTGAGCAGCCAGTGGACCCAAAAAAGTCTACCTGTTTTCTCTGTATAGCCCACAATCTAAAGGAACAGCAACTGAAATTGTTAAGCCAATGCATAATAATCAGCTTACTTACACTGAAAGAGCTCTCCAGAGCTGAATAATTCCAGCTGTTCCTGCTACCAACAGCACTGCTGCCAAATGTGGTGGGAAGCTGCTTCTGCCACAGGCTGTTTCTTCATTATTCATCTAGCAAGTGTTCCTTGAGCTCCTGACTGACGGGTAGTCAGGGAGCTGTGGAGATGTAGAAGTTGGGATTGTGGAAGATAAGGAGGACTCCTCATCCTTTGGAATGGCAGCTCTCCTCCTTTTGCTTTTGAGCACCTAGGAATTCCTAATATCTTGTTTTGTTATATTTTGTTTTTGGTTTTGTTCTCTTGTTCCTGGCCTGCAGCTGAGCTCTGGTGTCAGTTCTTTGGCCCACCCCCAAATCCCTCAGAGCTCTTCCCACCATTGTAGGACTTCACCTCACAGAGTGTGTGAAGTTGGGGGCAACATTGTTTACTGAATACTTGCTAGTAATGTTGTTTTATAACTTTTTTGCACAAAGAAGGCAATCTTTTAATGACAGGGATATAAAACTTTTTTTCTGAAAAACTTGTCCTTGTGCAGAAAACGGTATGTAATTTTAGATGCTTGAGTTCTGAGTTCTTCCCACTTTCCTTAGCCCTCCTCTACCTCTTTCTGTCACTCCCTTTGTTCTTTATGCTTTCCCTGTTAATCCTAGTTTGGGTATTAGAGGTGTCAGCTGAGAAGGATTTTAGATGAGTTTAAACCTTCTCCTTTCTTGTAATTGGCACTCTGAGGGCCTTGGAAGGCTTTCCAGACTCAAAATCCAGCGAAGCTAGGAAGGTAGGTTCCAGGGAGTAGGGCCCTGTTTAGCCTCTGTGTGTGGTCTGTGGTACCTGCCTGCTGTTTACTCTGCCCTCAGTATCTGCTGAGGCTGGGCAGCCTCAGGTGCCTGGGCTTCTGCCCTTGGCCTCCTGGGTATACAGGCTGGTTCTAATTAAATGCTAAGCAGTGATTATTCAAGAGGAGAGGATCTCCTGCCTGTGTGATCCCTCCCAGTCTTAATTAGGGACAGATGAAACCAGATAAGAAAAGCCGAGAACTACTTTGAAAAACAGTTTGTCTTCTATAATTGAACATTAACCTACCCTACAACCCAGTTATTCCAGTACTGGGAATAAGTCCAATAGACACTCATACATGTGTACCAGAAGACATGTACAAGAATGTTCATAGCAATCCTGTTCACAAAAGCAAACCCAAATGCCCATGAGCAAGAGAGTGGATAAATAAACTGGAACAGTCACACAATGGTATCCTATATAGCTATCAAAACAAATGAACTACAGTGACTCTTAACAAGATGGGTGAATCTTCACAATAAAATATTAAATGAAAAAGTTGAGTCCCAAAAGATTAAATGTAACATGATGCTCTTTTAAAGAAAAAACAAAAACAACTTTTTCTTTTTGGTTATTACTTACCAAATTTAAAATTTATCAATTTTTAACATGCTGTTTAAGGAATTTTGATAATTGTATATAATAGCATAGCCACCATCACCATCAAAATACAGAAAATAATTCTGTGGATAAAGTGAAGGTTCCTGTGGCCAGGATTCTCACCTGGCCCTGGTCGGCTAGCTCACTACACACGTGTGGACAGTACATCATTATTGACTATATAAAGAGCCTGCTCAGTGCTCTGGACGACATGGTGGCACAGCTGCAAGGCTGCAGGAGAGCAGAGCAGAGGCTGGAGTGATAGCAGCGCCAAGGACAGAGACTGAGATGGCTGTGCGGACAGAGAGGCCCAGAGGCAGAGACCGACTTGCTGCATGCAGGCTCGCTCTGAGTGGATGGGATTCTAGTGATTGATCTGCCACTGTGGAGATAAAGTTGGGTATAACCCTTTCACCCCAAGAATGTTCTACTGTCATTTCTTTGGTCACATTGAATCCATAGTGAACTTGCCTGGGGCTGAAACCCATTGGCAAGACAAATTCTATCTCCTAAATAGTTTCCTTGTGTTCCTTTGCACTCAATACCTTTCTCCTATCCCTGGTCCCAGGTAATTATCAACCTGCTTTCTGTCACTGTAGTTTTACCTATTGTAGAATTTTATATTATGGAAGGTAGAGTTGATTTACAGCTGGATTGCAAAAGCTCTATCTTTATTTGAATGTCTGGCTTTTCAGTCTTGGCCAAGGTAAGGGCATTGGTATTTCCAATGTGCAATTTAAAGTCTAAAGCTCCTCTGGTGACTCCCAGTATCACTTTCTTTACTGGTGGATTACAACTGGCCTAACTGGTTACATGCGCCTGGCTTGATTAAATGGCCAGAGAAGCATTAAAAACCCTGTTGGAAACTTCTAATCTGACCTCCCCCCACAGCAAAGATTCCTCACAAAGTTCATGGTGATTAGATGCAAAGATAGAACGCTTACTTCACATCCTGATAACACTTGGTATTGTTAAGTTTTATTCTAGTGGTGTGTCTTGGTGTCTCATTGTGGTTTTAATTTTCATTTCTGATGACTTGATGTTATGAAGTTACATACAACTAAGAATCCAAAAACATTTTTAAAGAACATATAAGCAGTAAAGCTACATGAAAAGGAAAGAATGGTTCTCACTGTGGATTTCAGAATAGTGGTTCCCACAGGCAAGGGGATAAGGTGGGGCTGGAGGAATGTATAATTAGGTCAGGTTCTAGCTTTCATATTTGGTGCTTATTACATTATCAAGACAACTAAATTAGTAAAAAGCTATGTACAAAAGTATGTTGTGCATGATAAAAGTGTGTTCTGAACAAGGATTATGTTTAATCCAGTTTTATGTACCTAATGTACAAAAAGGTGTGGGTAAGAACCTAGCCCAAGAGTGTAGTAGTGCCAAATATGGCTTGATAAGAGCTGTGGGAGGGGCCATATCTATAAACCTGGAAGCTTAGCTATGTTGTCTCAGTATTGCTTATGAGTTCCTTTTTCCTTGTGAAATATAAGAGCCCATCCTTGGCAGAGGACCAGGTGTTGGGTCAGCGATGGGTTACAGTAGAAAGAGCTTGGTCTGTGATTTTTACCTTTTGGGAGTCACATATCTGTTTGACAGACTGGTAAAAGCTTTGACCTCAGGAGAAAAACAACAACCCACCTTTGCCCTCTCTGTGTTGCTGTAGGATCAAGTCCAAACTCTGCCCTGGCCCCTGGTTTTTTATTCTGTTTCATCTCTGCCATCCCTACTGCTCCCTTCTCTCACAGTTTGTTTATCCAAGCATAACCTCCCCCTGTCCCCCTGCTCCATGTCTCTGTGACACATTGTCTTCTCTGTCTAAATGCCCTTTTCACTCTGTTGTTCTTGCTAGCCCAAATTTTCACCCCCTCCAGGAGCAGTAGGGGATGGTAGAGATGAAATATAATCAACAACCAGGGGCCAGGGCAGAGTTTTGGACTTGATCCTTCAGGCAACACAGAGAGGGCAAAGGGTTGTAAACAGGTGAATAACAATGTCAGATTGGGGTTTTTAACATGTGTCAGTAATTGCTGTGTAACAAACAGCCCATAACAAACCACCCCAAAACTTAGTGGCTTAAAGCAACCATTTTAGTTGCTCATGATTCTGGGCACCAGCAAGTTAGGCTGGACTTGACTGGGCTCACTCAAGCAGCCTGGGTCATGTGACCACTTATTTGAGGTAGAAGATCTAATATGGTATCTATCACATGTCCCCAGCAGGCTAGCCTAGGCGTCTTCACATGGCAGTAGAAGAGTTTCAAAGTGAGAGTGGAAGCTGAAAGGCCTCCAAGCTGCTCAGACCACATTTTGAGGTGACATACTAGGAGGTACACTGGGAACTTAGGTGTAGCATGAGGAGGGTGGCTGGAATGGAGAGGAAAGTGAAAATCTCATCCTAGGAGGAATTGGGGGAATGGGATTATTAAGCCAGGAGAGGAGAGGGGAAGATTTGAGGAACAGAGATGCTATCTCTTAATAGGACTGTTCTGAGGCAAGGGGGGCAGATGTGATTTTAATGTCCCCAGGGACATTCAAAGTTGTAATGAGCCAGATTGCAGATCAACATAATAAACCTTAAAACTGTTTAAACAGTTACCTTTCCTGTGGGGCCCTTGGCAGAGTTGCCTTCTCTACCTCCTCTGCAGTTAGGCATGGCCAGGTGATTTGCTCTATGAAATAGTAGTGGAAGTGGTGTTTTCTTCCACATTTCTGGATAGAAGCTTTGAGATGGAACATCAGATTTGTCATTCCCACCAGAGTGATCATGGAAATATTTGTTGAGATGGAACCTACATCAGCCTGAGTGCCCATGACTGTATTGAGCAGAGCCTGCTGTAGACGTGTGTCAGACATGGCAAGAGAGAGAAAAATAACTGTTGTATTAAAGCCACTGAGAGTTGTGTTGTTACTGAAGGATGACTTAGTCTATCTTAACTAATAAAGCAAGTGTAGACCAGCACCTCATTTTTAATGAAAAGGAATAAAGTAGAAAATACTAGATGCAAACCAGTCTACCATTAATGACAGACAGTAAATCAGTGATTATCTAGGCAGGGCTGGACCATGAGGAACCTTTGGGGATGAAGAATATCTTGATGGTGGTAGTGGTTTCACAGGTATATACATATGTAAAAAAAACTCATCAAACTGTATGCTTTAAATATATGTAGTTTATTGTACACCAGTTATATCTCAATAAAGCTGTAAAATACATATGTACAAAACAACACATTTTACAAGATCATACACAAACAAAAGGCATTAAACAAGTTGTAAAAGTTGCTTATGGGTGGTGGAAGAATAAGATTGAGGAGCAAGGATATAAAGGATAAAGAGATGAGAGGGGCTCAGATGGAACAATGATGATAATGTGCTGGGAGCTGAGGAGTATGAACTCAGCCCTCTGCACCTGAAGGAATGAATGAATGGATGGATGAACAAACCCTGAGTCAGTAAATGTGGGTGGCTGTGTGCATTTCCTTCTGAGTTGGGCCGGGCCAAGGGAATAGTGTGTTCAAAGGCACAGAATAACACTGGGGCCTATGATGTTTGTGAAGGGCTAAGAAGTTAATTAGGACCTTCCTTCACACCCTTGTTCATTCTGATAGTATCATTAGATACTGAGTTTTAACCTTACCTGTTGTCATCCAGTTGTGGGCATCTGCTAGAACCATGGGCTGTGTCTTTCTTAGGTGCCCCTGTTTGTAGAGGAAGTTGTAAGCAGGTTGTTGCTAGCTAGGGCAAAGGTCAGAGCTTGGTAGCGGAATATGCAGCCTGCTGGCATAGTGACGTCAGAGCCACTGTGGACAACAAGCCCTGCACCTTCAGGTTTCAAAGGGACTCACCTTGGTAGAGCCAGGAATTACGTAAGTCCCAGCCCTAGAGAGCCAAGGGCAAAGGGCCTCTTGCGGTTGGATCAAAGTTCAATGGCAGCCAGCCCTGGAAAGACGAGAAGAACCAGATTCCCCTGAGGGGAATTCTGGGCTGGCAGATTTGTTTTAGACAAAGAAATTCAATCCATCTCTAATCACAATTTGAATGTCTCTCAAGGGAATACTGATTTGCTTTACAAAAGACACCTTTACTTTGCAGAAGGAATCCCCAGATGAATTCTTTAAATAACACAGATTTATGTTAGGATTTGATTTATACACAGCCTATGAAGAATATATTTCTCTGTGAAATATGAGTTAAGTGTGTAATAATGGCCTACCAGAGCTCAAGAAGGGAGACATGTGCTCTTCTGCATGTCTGGTTTTCAGAAACTGGCTGGCCACCCACTGGATGTTGTCTCCCACACCATCTTGGATAGAAGAATTTACGGCATACAAGCTGACTCAACACTCATACTGAGGTTACCAGATCTGAGTGAAAAATATATAGTTCTCACAATCAAAATAAAAATGTTTCCCTAATAAAATTGCTATTGCTGGCTCATTTTTAGTCACATTATTTTGTTTTATATAGCTTTTGCTATGGTCACACAGTGCTGTATGAAAGGGCAAGCTCCCAGATTCTATTTCAGCCAATTGGGACCTGGATCCTATTTCAGCCAATCGGGACCTGGATCCTATTTCACCCAATCAGAGCTTAGTCCCGCTCTCCCCTCCAATCAGCAAGAACACCC